CAGGCTGTCCCTACAGCTCCAGCTGCCTGTCCCCTGTCCCTGGGGCAAGCTCCTGTGTGGCCCTGCCTGGCAGCTGGCCCTGGTTTGGAGCTGTAAGTGACAAGGAGCCTGACTTTCCTCTGAGGGTCTTTGCATTGCGTACCCACCAGAGGTACTTTTAAATCTCATGGAACAATTGGTGCTGTGACAGGATGGTGTGGCTGTGACCTCTGGCTCCTGGATGGCCTCATGGAGAGACTGCTCTTGGTTTGTTAATTGGTCCCGACCATGGAGAGGTGCTTGGCACAGAGCCTGCATGTTGGCCTTGTTGCCCGCTGCTATGTCTGCCAGTGGTCACCACTCTCTCCTGAACCCAGTTTCCTCAGTGTGGGGATATTGCACATGAAATGCTAATTGTCCCAACTCTGGGGACTGCATGCCAGCTCAGGCAAGGCTCATTTTAGGGCACTGCTTCAGTGTCATTTGTGCTTATTATTCTTTGGGGCAGAACCCTGGCGTGTCTCGGGTGACCCCGGTGGAAGAAGGCATTGGTTGGCCTCCCCTGGGGTAGAGAAATGGCTCCTTGGTCTCACGTGGATGTAGCCCAGGTGAGGGTAGCGGCTCACACCTTGCTGCTGTCACCTCACACTTCCTGCCCCCAGGTCCTCAGGGGTATTGTGAGTTACACCCTCCCCCACCCCAATGCCTGCAGAAGTTACCCAGCTGCTTAAATACTGCAGGGCCCCTGCCAGTGTGCTTGGGCCTGAGTGAGGGCCCCACATGTCCACGTGCAAAGGACCTGAGACCTCAGACAGGGGTAACTGTGCTGTCCCAGGAGAGGCTGCTCTCTCTCCTCAGAGCAAACCTGGATCCCTGGGAGGGGAGGCGCATGCCCCTCCTTTTCCTGTAACCTCCTAGAAGGCCCACACCATCAGTTCTCAGAGACAGAAACTAAACCAGGGCTTTAGGCTGCTGGAAGCCTCCCTTCCAAAAAATGGGAAAAGAAACCTGGATCTGGGGTGTGCGAGGAGGTTAAAATATTTATATATACATAAAATAATACACATATATACATATATGCATAATTAAAATGAAACAAAAGTCCATAGTCTGACTCAATTGGAAAGCTAAACTTTACCTAAAAAAATTATGTAACAAAAAAATTAAAAGAGTACTGATTGGCTTATTGCTAACAGTGTCTGGCCTGCAGAGACAGGGAAAGTGCCCAGTGCAGACCCAGCCCAGGGGTCTATTTACTGACCTTTTGGGATGGAACTCGCCTAGGGAGCAGGGACTCTGTCTTCCCTACTCCCAGACCCTCCACCCTCAGTTCCTGTCCCTGAGACACCAGACAACACAAGCCCCTGCTGCGTGCTCGGAATCTGGAGCTTGGTGATGACTCTCTCAGGCGGTGGGGGAGTGCCTATCTCCCTGGAATGAGGAGACACGAACCTAGAAGAGGATGGGAGCAAGTGAGAAAGATCACATGTGGTGGCTCATTGTCACTGGAGGCCGCAGAGCACAGGTGCCCTGTCAGCCCATCACAGCACAGCTCTCTGGTGAGCAAGCCACTCACCACCCTGGTTTCAAGTGTGTGGACTTTATGCAGTAGGCACAGAGGCAGTGGGGACCATCTGTCTTCTGGAGTCAAGCAGTCCGGATGTCCTCCATGTGGCCTGAGCATGTTCCCTCCCCATCTGAGCCTGCAGGGTGGGGCGACAGCTGTCAGAAAGCCTCCATGGGATTAATGAGGTCGTGTGGGCAAAGTGCCTATGGTGGGGCTGGGCACTTCGTAGGCCCTCAGCAGTGCTGTCTCCCCTCTGCCCTCCTGGGGTCAAGGCAGCTGGGACTCCATTAGTCCATCAGCCCAGCAGGTGCCCTTGTTGCTTCTGCCAGGAGTGGGAATCCAGGGCTGCGGGTGACTGTGAAACAGACACAATCCCTTGGGGTCAGTGCTGGCCCAGGGCAGCTCTCTGAACTCGGCCTTCACCCAGCTTCCCCGTCCATAATGAGGGTGATGACCTCCAACCTTGTGTTCCTAGTCAGGGAAGGAAAGGTCCAGAGCCCTGTGAGCCGGGCAGAGATGCCTCAGGGAGCCAGTGCCCAGGGCCAAGTTTGAGATGAACATGAAGACTGGATTTGGTGGCTGCCGATGGTCTGCATGGAACTCAGCATTTGACTGGCAATTGTCCATGGTTTTTAAAAAATTTGACTTTTTTTTTTAAAGATTTTATTTTTCCTTTTTCTCCCCAAAGCCCCCCGGTACATAGCTGTGTATTTTTAGCTGTGGATCCTTCTAGTTGTGGCATGTGGGATGCCGCCTTAGCATGGCCTGATGAGTGGTGCCATTTCTGCACCCAGGATCCAAACTGGTGAAACCCTGGGCCACCGAAGCAGAGCGTGCAAACTTAACCACTTGGCCATTGGGCAGGCACCTCACTATGGTTTTTAAAAAATTTCTGTACTGTTTGAATTTTTTCCAGTTTTACTGAGGAATAATTGACATCACTGTATGTCTCAGGCGTACAGCATGATGGTTTGATTTACATATAAATGTGAAGTGATTACCACAATAGGTTACTGAACATCCATCATCTCATACAGATACAATAAAAAGAAAAGAAAAAGAAAGTTCTCCTTGTGATGAGAACTCTTAGGCTCTACTCTCTTAACAACTTTCCTGCATCTCACACAGCTGTGTTCGCTGTAGTCACCGTGCTGGACACTATGTCCCTGGTACTTATTCATCTTAGAACTGGAAGTTTGTACCTTTTGACCTTCTTCCAATCCCCCTCCCCCCAGACCCCATCTCTGTCTGACCTCTTTTTCTATGAGTTTGGTGGGATTTTTGTTGCTGTTTTTTGTTTTTTTAGGTTCCACATATAAGTGGGGTCATACAGTATTTGTCTCTTTCTGTCTGACTTATTTCACTCAGCATGATGCCTTCAAGGTCCATCCATGTTGTCACAATAGCAGGATTTCCTCGTTTACTATGGCTGAGTAATATTTCATTGTCTGTATATACCACGACTTCCTCCTCCGTCCATCCATCCATCTATTAAGCACAGTCTTGATCAAGGGCTTGCAGCTATGGAGGCGCAGCGTCACTCAGGTTCAAGGCTGAGCTCCCCCACTCACCTGCTGTGTGGCCTTGGGCAGCTACTTAACCTTTCTGAGCCTCCATCACCTCATCAGTAAAATGGGGGTCATTCTGCAGAACCCAAAAGTAGTCCCACCTACTATTATTACTGGCAAGTCCTGCCCCATGAATCTTTCCCTGACACGTCCCTGTCCCCTAGTCCCTTCTCCCACCCCCAATTCCCTCCCCTGACACACACCAGCTGGAGGTGACCTCTTCCACCCCCGGGCTGGCACAGCAATTGTCACTTTCTAGGTCCTACTTTGTAGAAACCCAACCCAGGCCATGTTCTTATTTTGACAGAAGCCCCAGATCCTCCCAGACTGACCCCATGTTCACACCCACTGTGCTGCCAGGAGGACCGAGGACCCTGCAGTGAGTCATTATGGGCTGAGGGTGTTTTCTCATGTCCTACAGGAGACCAAAGTGTGGTCCTGTCTTCTTATGGACATGAACCCCCTACATCATCGGCTCGTGGCCCAGAGCACCCTGGGGCAGCTCTGTGACATGCAGACAGACCGTCTCTACTGACCACACTCTACATTCAAACAGAGTCATTGCACTTCCTCCTCGGGCGGTCAAGCACCAACAAGGCCGGGTCCATCCCGGCAGAGGGCAGGTATTTACTGAGCACTGTGCATGGGCTGGGGTCTTGGTGGGCACTGAGGACGTGATGTGGCAGGAAGGAGACAGGCGGATGGGGATGGGGTGGGGGCTGCCCTGCAGAGGGCAGAGTGTGGTCAGGAAGAGGACCATCAAGCAAAGATGGCAGGTGAGATGAGGGTCACAGGGAAAGGGTCCTTCCTAAATCCTTGTGGCTCTTGGGCCTCATCAAAGGAGGCTGGAGCTCATCAGCCTCACTGGGCTGCATCAGGGAGCTGCGCTGTCTCCCCAGAGTCACAAGCCCAAGGCTGTGGAATTTAGCAGCAAAGGTTTGAAACAGCCAGCAGAAAACCCAACCGAAAAATAAACAAACAAAAACTTCAAGTCTGGGTGAAGAGGTTATCAAGAGTTTAGAAGACCTTTGTGTATTTAATTAGTGAATACTGACAGTGAAATTGCCAAACAGCTTTGGATGGATTTGCTTGAGGGCGGCTTGTGGCTTGTCCCCACCAGAGTCTCCTGGCCAGGAAGATGTCCTCCCAGGGCCAGCAGGCTCTGCTGAGTGAGTGTAAGATGCCCCCAGAGAATGAGGAGCCAGGGGGTGGGGGTGGGGGCTGACAATCTCACAGCCCTTCCAGCCCAGGAAGTCTCATCCAGGCATCAGGTCCTGCCCTGGGGCCCTGGTGGGGATCCATGGGCCCTGGCACAATGGCAACGTAGGTCTGAGGCCAGCAAGGCCAGCAGTTCAGAGGAGGCTCACAGAGAAGGCAGTGCTATTTTATCATTTTAAATGCCGAGTCTGTCTCTGTAAGTGTCAGAATGGACAGCTTGTGGCATGGGTTTTGTTTTCTTTTTTCTTTTTGGAAAGTGAGTCCAGGGACTGACCTCTCTTCATAAGGACTAGGAAGGAAAGAGTTGTGTAGAGAGAAAGGGTAAGGGTCCCACTGGAGAGAGGGGTCTGTGCCAGCTGGGGCTGTGGGTGAAACCACAGAAGCGCTGGGGAGTCTGATCTAGCATGCACTGGACTGCTGGCTAGGATTTGTAGGAGAGAACTGAGTACTAGTATGTAAACTAAAATAAACAGCAAACCACTGAAGTATGATTCTTGTGTAAAAAATATACCAAAAAGTAATTTAAAAACTGTGGTTCAGAAAAAAAGAAAACCAGCAGCAAAGGGTAGTGCAAGGACGTGGGGAGGGAGTCCTGCCACCGCAGAGACGCAGGGCCGCCCCCTCTGAGAGAAGGGCAGGGATCTGCTCTAGGAGGCCCTTCCTGTCCCTTGGATTCAATGCAGATCCGCCCGAGCGCCGCCTCCACCGCCCTCCTCCGGGGCTGGCAGGGCTGAGAGCGGCCTCCTCCCCTCAGACGGACAGACTGAAGCTCCAGCACCCAGTGGAACGGACTGTGGGTGCAGAGTTCCCGGCGCTCCGAAGCCGCAGGGCGAAGGGGTGGTGGCCAGAGCCGGTCCCAAAGACGCCCCTGCAGACCCCCAGCCTGCAGCTGCGGGCAGGACCAGGAGCTCGTCCCACGGCGAGTTTGGACGCGGAGGTCGCTCATATGAAAGCAACCACTGAAAGATGGAGACACAACTCAAGAACAAAGTAATCGTGACCCGAGCGGTGCCGCAGTGGGGAGTTTTGGGAGCCTCGTTATTGATGGTTCTCATTCTTCAGTGGCTTTTCCTGCTCCCCACGGGAGATGGCGCCCGGAGGTGGACGCAGGAGTCGGGTCCCCGTCCCAGGTCGGCAGGCCCGCTGCGTGCCCTCGGATGGTTCAGGGCGGCGCCCGAGGCACTTTGGCGGGTCCCTTGGGGCGCGCAGGGCTGGTTCGGACGGGGCGGGGAGGGCGGCCTGGGCTCCTCCCTCCTGGGTCCCGGGCGCCTCTGCTCTTAATCCTCCCCGCGCTCGGGGGGACCGGGCCGCTGGGCTCCGAGAGCAGGTGAGCGATCACCGCCGAGCCAGAGCCTTGCGTCCTGTCCCGAGGCCACGCCAGCACGCCAGCATGGATGACGGACCCCTGCCCAGCGGCATCAAAGTCTTCACCACCTGCCCAGATCTGCTTTTCAGTTTAGAATTTGTGAGTGGCTGGCGCCCGAGCCTGGGAGGGGGCGGGATGGGCTGCGCGGTATCGTGGGGGTTCCTCTCAGAGATCCAACCAGATCCACAAGTTGCGCGTGTCCTGGGAGCTTTGGGATACCAGGGCCAGGGTGAGGAAAGTCTCCCAACTCGAGTCGTTTGGCCTTTTCTAGACCAATGATAATGGGGGAAACAGTCTCCGGGACTTAGGTAGGAAAATCAAATTCGCAACGTAGGTCAGATGTAGGAAGCTGGCCAGGGTCCATCCGTTGCGCGCTGGTTCCGAAGCTGCGCTCCGACCCGCCTCCCATGGGCGCAGAGGAAGCCTTTATGGGAGAGCGACGTCCTTGTGGAGCTGCCCAGCTTTGTCCATGGTTAGGATTTCGTTTACAAAAATGAACAAAAGAAGCCTGAGCATCACCAACTGAGGTTTGGGGACTGGGTTTGTGTCCTAGGAGGAGCTGAATCCGGAGTATTCTCTTTTGACCTTTGATAGTTTCTGGAGAGAGAACACATTTGCGACAACTTTGATCTGGAAATAATAAAACAGGCCACCCTTGCTCTGCCACAGTCTTTCTGCCCTGTGTGTGGAGTGAGGGGAGGGAGGGGGCTGGCGCTAGTGGTCCAGTGCCTTGGCTGACCTTGAGCAGTCCTAAGGCCTCCCTACCTGTGATTGGTCCATCCTGATACTGCAACCACAAGGCTCTCCAGGTGGCTGCCAGAAAGCACTTCTTACTCTGGGCTCCTGGTAAAGTGCTCACTATGTCATGGCCATCGCGCCCCTCAGCCTAAACTCCCCAGGGGCCACAGGCCCTTACCTGGGAGGGGCTGCTGTGTGTGTTCTATGGGTGCTGAGTGTTGCAGCCACGGAGACTCCATTCCCAGCACCCCTGCTGCAGAAGAGCTTGTTGGAAAAGAGTTTTTCCAAACCTGTTTAAAAACAGGACCCCAGCTTCTTCTTGCCTGATTGGAGGCGGGAGGGTGTGACCAGCACAGGGAGCAGGTTCTGTCATCCATGGAGGGTTTGGAGAAAGGGCTAAGGGGACTGAGGTTGCCTGGTGGCACCATTTCACTGCATTTGTGAGCGTTGAGTTGAGCTCACACCTGCATGTATCCAGAGTGACATCAAGTCCTGGGGCCAGTCAGGCCCCAGGAAGTGACATCTAGAAGAAACGCTTGACACTACTGTGCCCAGTCCCACCATTTATAGATAGGGACACCCAGGCCCAGAGTGGGGAGGGGCTTGCACCCACTGGCACATCCTTTCCCCAAGTGGCTCCTCTGGGTGCGTCTGTTCAGCACTGGGCCTGTGCTTGCCTGAGGTTGGATGTCTGAAGATGAGCGCACAATGCCCAGGACCTGGGATGAGTGGTGGTGATTCTTTCAGAGGCCACTGTGTTTACAAAGGCAGATTCATGACCAAAAGAGATGGTGGCTGACGGTGAGGTGTGATGGGCAGAGAGATTTTTAAACAACAAAAGGTCCTCCTAGTGTCTTTTGCATTGCCCTAATGAGGGGCTTCCTCTGCCTTTGCAGCTGTTTGGGGAGCACTGTGACAAGAATCATGAGAGGGTATTAGCTGGGCTTCATGCAGAAGACTCTGGGACACCTCCTTCTCTTGCCTTCACAAGAGCTGGCTCAGGTGGCAGCAGGAGATGGCAGGTGGGGGGGACCTGGCTTCACAGAAGGCACAGCCCAGTGCCCACTGCCTCCTCTTGGTATCCCAGCCCAGAGGAAGGAGTGCCCCTGGGGGAAGGACAGCCCAGCCAGGCAGGTGGTCTGTGGGGGAGGGGACAGGAGGATCCCCCCATCCCACCAAGTGAAAGGAGAGAGCAGGGGGGTAGGAAATCTCAGAGCCCTGGATTAGTGGAGACTTTCTCCTACAAGGCAGTTTTCTGACTTGTGATAGTAGGGGCTTCTAGAAGAAATAATTCTCCATTTTCTACACTTCACTTTCAGCTGTCTTAGAAGATGTTTTTTCTCCTCCATCTGAGACATGCTCCCCTAAAGCCAACCCTTCCAACTTTCTGAGAGGCTCTGGATCCCTCTGTTTTCACCGTCAATCTCTTTCCTCCTCCCTAGATTGCAGGTGGCTCGCAGGGTGCCTAGAACAGGAAAGAGAGCAGACACCAGTCCTTTAAGTTTCCTCTGCAGGGATTGTATGTATAAAGCTGGACGTGCTTGGTGTGTGAAAGAGCAGAGAATGAAAGGGCCCAAGGAGGTGCTGGCCGCCCTGGGAGAGTTTTTTTAAAATTATGGACCATTACAACACAACAACAAAAAGATAAACAAGCCAGTTAGAAAATGGACAAAGGACTCAAATAGACTTTTCTCCAAAGATGATGTATGAATGGCCACTAAGCACATGAAAAGATACTCACCATCTTTAGTCATTAAGAAAATGAAATCAAAACCGCAGTGAGGTACCATTTCACATGAAATTAGGATGACTATTATATAAAAAAAAAAACAACGGGAAATAGCAAGTGTGAGCCAGGATGTGGAGAAATTGGAGTCCTCACACATTGCTGGTGGAAAGATCAAATGGTTCATCTGCTGTTGAAATCAGTTTGGTGGTTCCTCAAAAAAATTACACCATAACCCAGCAATTCCATGCTTAGGTGTATACCCAGCAGAATTGAAAGCAGGGACCTGAATAGGCACATGGACATGCGTGTTCATAGCAGCTCTATTCACAGTAACCAGCAGGTGGAAACAGCCGAAATGTCCAGTCAATGGATGAAATGTACAAACTGTGACATATTCACACAGTGGAATATTATGCAGCCCTAGAAAGGGAGGAAGCACTGAGACATTCCACACAGTTGGAAACACTGTGCTGAGTAAAAGGAGCCAGACAGGAGGGTCACATACTGTGTGATTCCGTTCATATAAAATACCCAGAATGGGCAAATCCACAGACAGAGCACAGACTGGAGGTTTGCCAGGGGCTGGGAGGAGGGGAATGGGGAGCAGCTGCGTAATGGGTGCGGGGTTTCCTTTTGGGGGATGGAAATGTTTGGGGTTAGACAGAGGTGGCGGCTGCACAACATCGTGAGTGTATTAAATTCCATTGAACTGGGCAATGTAAAATGGTTAGTTTGATATTATGTGAACTTCAATTTTTTAAAAAAACAAAAATTAAGAAATATTTCAAATATTACAGAAAAGTATATATAATACTTTAATAGACACCCACATAATTATCACTCAGCTTTGTCAAATCTTAATATTTTGCCGTATTTCCTTTTAGTGTGAAGCAAATAAGCTTTTCAGGAGGCTTCTAAGCCCTGGATGTGCCGCTGTCTTACTCCCCTCCCTCCATCCTCAGGAGCCCCGGGCTGGACGTGGTGGTCCTGACGCCCAGGCAGGGTCAGCCCTTCCCTGCACCCTGACTGCCTGTGAGCTCCACAGGCGCTGTGTTCTGTGTTTTCACACTTCATGGAAATAGTGTAGTCCTGTCATGTCCTTCTGCAGCGAGCTTTCCACGCAACGGTGTTGAGGTTTATATACATTGATGCTGTTTGTCCATTCTTCTGATGATGGACATTTTGGCCATTTCCAGTTGTGGCTTTTTGCTGTTGCAGACGGCATTGCCAAAGAACATTCTTGTATTGGCCTCTGTGGTTACATGTTGGGAATTTCCTGGGGGACACACAGAGGATTGGACTCGCTGGGTCATAGGGAACACACATCTTCATCTTCCCAGAGTTACCACATTGCTGTCCAAAAGGGTTATTCCAATTCACACAGCCCGGGAGCGGAGTCACTGGGAAGCTTATAAAGCTTAATTGAGCTCAGGACCCGCACTTGCTCAGGCCCCTTCCAAGACTCAGACTCATTTTTCATTCTTTTATAAAGGTCCCCAAATTGTATAAGCTTCAGGCTAACCCTGGACCTTCCTGACTCCCACCAGCAGCAGATGAAAGTCCCCGTTGTGCATCATCTTGGCCACACTTGGTAGCGTCAGACTTTGTAATTTTCTCTTAGTCCAATGGGTGTGAAATGCTTGATTAGTTTTTAGATCTGTCATCCAGCGAGTTGATTACTCAGAGTTCCTATTTCCATGCCTGAGCTCCTAATAGCCTGGGAGGGGCAGATGTGAAACCCTTGGCCTCCAGGACCAACAGGGTGGGGCTCCCTTCCTCTCCCAAAGCAGGGACACTGCCCACCAGAGCAGGGAAGGGCGATGGCTCAGGGTGGGGCCTGGCAACCTTACCCTGCCCAGCACCTCAGCCCAGAGCCCCTGCCCTCTGAAAGCTCAGGGTCCTCACGGGAGGTGGAAGGCAGCCCAGCCAGGGCTGTGACCCTGCCTCTCTGAGCCCCCCGAGCCCACAGGCCACACTGCTGTTGCAGGCGGTGGGTCCCAGTGCACCCCACACAGGCCCCGGTGGAACATTCAGGGTCTCCCCTCCCCAACAGCTGCACCCAGGGCTCTGCTTCTGGCCTGTTCCCTGTCCCCACCCAAGGGGGACATTCCTTTTGGAACCACAGTCTCTGTTTCTTCCTCCTCCTTCTCCTTCTAAGCCAGGGGCTTCATGACACTGGGTCCCCATTCACAGCACAGGATGTTAACATAGGACGCTGCTTGTCTCAGCTCTGCCCAGGGCCCCAAGAGGAAGCTTCTCTCACAATGTACCAGCAGATAACCCCACCCCCCCAACCCCCTTTCGGAATTTGGGAAGGAAATGCGTCCTCCTTTCCCTCAGGTTACCTTGAACAGTCTGGCGGGCCACAGCCAGCCAGGCGGTTTGCCTTTTCATCTTCTTGTCTTCTCTTTCATCCTCAGTTAAATCCTGGTTATTGATGGAAAAAGGGGCCAAGGGGTTTTCCACCGCTGCTGCCTCTTCTGCTGCTTGTAGCACCTGGGCCAAGCTGGGCCAGGCCCAGCACAGAGGCGCCCACCTGCGGCTGGGGCTGCCACTGCTGCCACCACCGTCACTATCATGGCTGGGGCCGCCGCTGCTGCCATGATGGCGCAGGAGCTCTGGGCTGTCCTCC